TGAACCTGAAGCCAAGCTTCGGCCATAGCGTGGACCTGGCCTGAGTGGAGCATAGCAATGCAGCAGCACAGTAAACAAAATGGAGGGCTGCAGAGGGTTACTTGCCTGCCACCTCTTCCCCCCGCCACACTGCACCTAGCTCTGCCACCAGGGTTCAAGACCCTTATGGTGGTTGAAGCCATGCACATCAACCCCTCAGGAGAAAGGCTGAAAGTTACGGTACCTGTACTGGGCTTGAAAGAGTTCCTGTACGAAAGTGCTGCTGACTGGAAAGCCTGGGGCCTCAAGCAGCGCAGCATCTTCCACGGGGGGCTGAAACGGAAAAGCAATTCCAAAGGAGACATGCCACGGTGCCCAGGAGAGCCAGCCCAGTTCCATACAGCTCGGCGGGGAGGAGCCCAGCTAGCTCTCCTGAGCCACACACACCACGACAAGGCCAGTACTTGAGATGGCAAGTGCTTTTGGTTCCTGTGTGTGGTGCACAGAGGGGACAGAGCACCTGGGTAGCCATGTGTGCTGGATACAGCTGGCATAGCATTACGCTGCCCAACTTCATGGACAGCAGAGTCAGGTGGCACCATTCACACTGGGCTGTGCTGGTTCACACCTTCCCCGCATTGCCAGAGAAGGCTCTTTGCGGCCCCAGGGGCCAGGCACAGCCCTTTGGCCCCCGTGTGTTACAGCACAGATCTCCCGCTGGGACGCTAAGGCAGAAAGCTTCCATGGAAGCACTACAGCAGCCACGGCCCTGCTGGATTTGCCTTACCTTCAGCGGAGATCTGCCACTGGATTTCACTACATTGTTGAGGTCTTCGTGAACTCTGTCCAACAGCCAGAGCAAGAACTCCTGGGCATCATGCTGCGAGTTCCCTCGGTACTGCATGGAGTTCTTCGAGACAATGTTCTGCAGAGGAACAGTCAAGAGACCCTCAGCACCGAGGACAAGCCCAGGGACAGAACACCTGCCATGATCAGACCCAGGCCCCGCTAACCGTGGTGTTCAGAACGGCACAGCTCCCCTGCCATTGAAGCCGAGTAGCACAGGTGGCAGGGACAGCCGTCTGCGCTGAGGCTGAAGACAAGGTGTACGCGAGCTGAGGGCCTCCAGAGATGGGGAGGCTGCTACCTGATCTGGAAACTGGGCAGTGGGGCTAAGGCAGAGGCTACCGAGCGCCCAGAACTAGAAGGACGAGCACTCTTTGCCTTCATCCCAGCTACGGCGTGATGAGCAGGTCTCAGCTGTCAGCCTGCCTGCAGCAGCGTAGTCTCACTAATGGGAGAGGCAAGGAACTGGGAAGCTGGCCAGGGAACTGAACATCTCTCAGAAAAGTTCCATTTATCATACGAGCGCTGTCCTGGGCGGATGCCGCTGAAGACAGGCTAGCAGCCCACAAGAACGGCCACTCCCAGAGGGGGGGGAGCAAGAAGCGTTAACGGGGCCCCTCA